TAGAAACGCTGATGTAGGCCAGTGGTGCATGGCCTCAGTGTGCAGTCTCTTCACTGTGGGCCCCGGCTTTGACACTCTAGTTCCAGCACTCACCATAACTCCAGAGCTTGCATCTCCTCTCATCTATCCCTCTGTTTGTGAAAAGCATTTCTTGCTGTTTCAATAAAGACTAGTACTTTATAATCCTCCTGATAGAGGTAGGGAAATAACAGGTCTGCTGGGATCTGGGTGCAAATCCAGGAGATTTTCATAGTTAAACTTCCTGAACCTCCTGAGTGCTGAGCCAGGAAGCTCTGGGACTTGAAAGGAAGCATCGGGCAGTACATCCTGATAATTTTTCATAGAGGACGCTGGAAGAATACTGAGGTGCCCTGTACTGAGCACCTGCTCTTCTCAAAGAGCCAGCCCCACGAATTGCCTGATGACAGATGGAGGCAGATGGGGACCAAGAGGATGGTTAGAGAGTGGGATATACTCTGTCCTTCTAGAACAACAAAGGCAGTGTGGAATTTCCATTTCTAGAGAGAATGAGCCTAAGCTCTTTCTAAATTCAGCCAAAGAGAAATCAGTAGCCAAAGAAGTGTGTGTGCGTGCTTTAACAATGGGGATTATGTCAGAGAGGAGAAAAGAAGTTCTCTACCTAACATGCCTGTGCCTAGGGGAGGAAGATGGTTGAAAATAAACATATAACCATGAAGCAATCTCTCTCTCTCTCCCCCTCCCCCTCTCTCTCTGAGTTCAGCATCTCTAAGCTAAAATCTATTTTAACCTTTTAATCTTTCTCATTCCATCAAAATTGTTCTATGTAGAGATATTGCTTTAAGTGTGTATACTTATGTTTAAGAGACCAGGCATGAAGGGAAGTAATAAACCAAACCCTAGTGTACATGTGTGAAGTATTTAAGGACTATAAACTAAAATAGTTCCAACAAGAAAGACAGTCATCCCTCAGTATCTGTGGGGAATTGGTTCCAGGATCCCACCAGATACTAAAATTCATTCAAGTACCTTATATTAAATATTGCAGTATTTGCATGTATAATCTACACACATCCTTCTAGATACTTTAAATCATCTCTAGATTACTTATAATACTAATACAATGTAAATCCTAAAAAAAAAAAATGAAAAGAACACATGCACCCACCCCATATCAGTCCCATCCATCAAGCATGATATAGAAGAGCCGTGATCTATTTCTAGATCTATCATATATCAACTGTGATAATGAACAAATTATTTTAACTCCTTAAGCTTTTTATGTTTCACTTATAAAATGGAAATAATGGTTATTTCATGGAATCACTGTTATAATTATATTAGAATATGAAGGCTCTCAGAAAAGGACTTGGCACATCACAGAAGCTCCACACGTACTCCCTTTCCTTTCCAATAGGAAATTGAGGCTTCAGTAATGTCTGGACTCCTCTACATTGCCATCCACATGTCATACTTTCCCCACCTTTCATAGTCAGAGTGTTGGGTTTTTTTAAATAAACTTTTTATTTGGGGATGTATTTAGATTTACAGAAAAGCTATGAAGATAGTATAAAGAGTTTCTGTATATATTTCACCTAGTGTCCTTAATGTAAACATCTTACATAAACACGGTACATTTGTCAAAACTAAGGGATCACTAAGGATACAATTACTATTAACTGAAGTCCAGATTTTATTTGTATTTCACCAGTTTTTCCACTAGTGTTTGTTTGCCATTCCAGGATCTAATGCAGGGTACCATACTGCAATTAGTTATCATGTCTCCTTAGTCTCTTCTGGTCTCTATATATTCCTTCTTCCTCTTCATTGCCAGAGGTTAATCCCTGAATGCTAGGTTTCCCAGGCTCCCTTATGATCTGGTTTCTAACTGGGTTTAGGCATTGTAAATATTAGAGGAAGATTAACCAGGTCCTCTAGACGAGCCTGGGGTAAAATTAAATTAGTGACTTTTATTCAATAGGCAATGAGAATAAGAAAAAATGAAAAGAATGGCACTCAGAGTTGGGGAAAAGGGAAATGAGGCAAGAAAAAATGTAAAACAATGCAATGCATTATTACACTGGATAATGATTTACAATGACTTTCAGAATGACATAGCAGATCCCTCAGCCAGTGTGTTTGCTCATCAGAACTGCAAGGAGGAATTTCACCTTCAGTTGTCCAGGGGAGAGAGAGGAGATTTTATTTGTCTCATTCTCTCTTATCTCCCATTTCTCATTAGTCAATGTTCATCTCACAGAGAACTAATTCCCTGCACTTTTTGCTTATGTCATTTGCCTGTGATGGCTGCTCAGAAATCTAGATCGCACATCCTACAGTGTGGTGTTTTCTGAGTGTCTGCAAATTCACATACAGGTCTGGCCTTCCTTTGATTTTTTTCACTCAGTTTTCAATTTGCTTTCTGGGACTAGGTTCCTGAAATAAAATCCGAGTACAGTGACACAATCTGGACACTAGATGTCGCCTGATAGTCTTTCACTAAGCAAATTATCTTAAAAATGGGATTGGAAATTTCAAAAAAGATGAAGTGGTTTTGTTCCTGGAGAATGGGGAATCTCTCCCAGCTCCAGGTTCTTAATGTCTCGAACAAAGAATTGAGCAAGACACCGAAATATAGCAGAAAAGAAAAGCTTTATTAGAAGGGAAAGTACACCTCCAAACATGGAAGCAGACCTGAGCAAAAGAAGTATGGCTCTAAAGGCCTGGTAACAAAGCCTTTGGGGTTTTTATCCTTATTTGCTGTGGGTGGTTACTTTTCTTAGAGGGGTGGGCTTCCTTGATTGACAATTAAGATTGACAGAACTCAGTGATTCATCATTTGCTTTCTGCATCAAATTACAATGATGGTATAATGAGGCTCAGGTGAGTTGAAAGTTGTTGGGCTCTTCATTGTGCAGGTGCCTAGTGACTGGCTTAAACTGGTATCTAATTCTCTGCTTACTTATTTCTTTGTATGAGTTACTTTTAGCCTAAAAATACCTTGTGGCTTGCTTAACTGTGGGCAGATTAGGACGGACCCTTTCTAGGATAGGATGACCTCAGTGTCTTTGCAGGCAGACCCAAAATCCCCTAACTTTCCTGCCTAACTCTTTTCTAAGAGCCATGAACCCCCTTATTATTACTATGGATGTTGAAGGATGGGAGGTCTCTTTCTGTGGCCGGGGACTACAGTTGTGTTGCCTGCCTATTGGGGTTTCATGGAGCTCTTTCACTTTCTGCCTCAGTCAGGGCGGGGTCTTGGGTTTCTGGCTGAAGTGCCTAGACAAGGAAAAGAAGGTACAAACTTGTTATTTAAATCATATATCTATTAATATCTATTATTGATTTGCAAATTAAGCAAGTAAAGGGAACAGGCTCGGTCAATATATTTCTTAAGGAGTAAAAAAGACCTTTGGCCTAAAGTCCCCTCCCCTCTTAGATTCTAAGGGCCTCTCTGGCCTAACACCATTTCTGCTAACAATGGGCTGATGACCCTTATCAATAGCTAGAAGATCTGAGTTGCCAGTTTTCAAGGCAATTATCAGGATTTGAGGAAGAAGGCCTTTTTGCTAAAGAAAGGAGGGAAGAAAACTAGGTTTACTAAAAAGATTAAGACCTCTGCAAGAGATATCCTATGTCATTTCCTACTAAAAGATTAAGAATTTTACAAGTGATGTCCCATATCAGTTTTAGGTTTCTTAAATCTATAAAAAACACCAAGCAAAGTTTAATTGACATTTTACTTTAAGTTATACAGAGACAATAAAGAAAAAGAAAATCTGAGTTGGAAGGAACTGAGAAGCCTTCTAGCCTTCCTCTTTTTCTCTTTCCCCCTCTGCAGCCATGACCATATCCCTATCAGCTGCCCCTAAAGCCTCTGCTTGAACTGACAGGGCAGCCTCTTATGTTCTGACTGCCATTAAAATGAGGGTTTTCCCTGGCCCTTTAATTATCAGGCAGCTATGCTTACTATATCACATCAAGCAAGTCACGTTACTCCATTCTGCCTTGTATGGCTTAAATAATAAAACCTAACATAGCATCATTACTCACAATAGCCAAAAGGTGGAAGCCACCCAAGTGTCCATTGACAGATGAATGTATAAACACAATGTATATACATAATGGAAATTATCCAGCCTTAAAAAGGAAGGAAATTCTGTCACATGATACAACATGGATGAACCTTGAGGACATTATGCTTAGTGAAATAAGTCATACAAAAGGACAAATACTGTGCAATTCCACTTACATAAGGCACCTAGAACAGTCAAATTCATAGAGACAGAAAATAGAATGGTGGTTGCCAGAGCCTGAGGGAGGTGGGAATGGGGAATCATTGTTTAATGGGTACGGTTTCAGTTTGACAAGATGAAACAAGTTCTATGGATGGATGGTAGATAGTTGCACAATATGAATGCATTTAACACCACTGATATATACACTTAAAAATGGTTAGGATGGTAAATTTTACGTCATGTGTATTACACCACAATTTTTTAAATAAAAATAATAATAAATAACCTGAGAAAATCTCAAGTTTGGTGACAAGAGCACAATTGGTACTCAGTAATTGTCAATTCTCTTCTTATCACACAACTGGTGTGACAACAGCCTTGGGGGCATGTAGAATAAATCTCTTACACCCTACTCCAGTCTTCGGAAAGGAACTTTTGTTGGAAGTAGGAAGCAGATGGTGGCATCATCCAAACCTCCTGAAGAGCAGCTCCCACAAGTGGGCACAGCATGTTGGTGTGGAGTGATGACCTGTGCATCTAGTAGATACGATATTTTACTATGTTAGATAATGATGACATGGGAAGGAGCACAAAGCAAAGACTACAGGCGGTGGAACTTCCACTCAGTCCCAAGCAGCACTAGCCTGGGGCAACATCAGCTTCAGAAACCTGCGGACCCCTCAACTCCGCCTTCTCTCCTCCCACTTTCTGTTCCGGAGTCCTGTCCCGCCCCGCCGCTTCAGTTTCCTCTCCTCCTCTTGCTCCTCCTACTCCCTCCTCTTTGCCCGCCCCCCTTTCAGACTTGCCTCTTATAGGAAATCGAAAGTGAAATAGAAAGCTGGCAGCCATCTGCTGAGGCCCCCGGAAAGGTGAGTGAACCTGGCTGGACCGAGGTACCCCTGCCCCCGCTGACAAGCCTCTTCTAACAGTACCCACGCCTTGAGCCTTCAGTCTGTTTTCCTTTCTCCGCAGCCGGGCTCATTCAGCCTAAGCCCAGCAGTTCTCCCCGAGCTGGCGGGTCTGCCTAGGAGGAGGCTGGGCTGTGAATGTGACTTCCAAGTCACCTGGAAGGAGCTAGGGCTTCCCTACTGCTGGCACCTACCTGAGCTGGGATGAGGGGCCAAATGAAGCTGGTTGAACCAGAACAGAAACCTAGCTGGGAGGGTGGTTCAGAGGAGCCCGGTGTGGGGTAGATCTGCAATCTTTGAGACTCCCATCGCCAAAAGTCCCATTCTGGAGGAGAGAGGGAGCAGAGTTGTTTAGGATATTAGAGATTTATGGATCTATGCCCTGGAGGAAATGAAGATAACAAGTTCAGGGGTAGCTGAGAGAAGAGCCCAGGGAGTACTGACTACTTGGTTACAGTGTGTGTATGTTGTGTGTGAGAACATATACATACATAGACAGATATGTATACGTATATGCACCTACAAATATATGCATACAGGTATACATATATGTTTATTAGGATATAAATATTCTTATGTGTATATTCGTATTATATATATTCGTATATATTCGTATTATACTCGATGGCCTGAGATGGGAGATGATGGACGGGAAAAGCCTGGGCACTGAGGGTTTAAGCAGAAATGGACATGATGAAAGTGGAATTGTAAACAGCTTTCTCTCTGAGGTTCCCAACAATTTTCACTATCTCTTTTGGGGATTCAGTTCCCCTTCTGTGTGACTGAATCGAGGGTCCAGGTTGTGGAGGAGAAGCTCTGGTTGTTTAGGTTAATGTTCTTGTCCTGTCATGTTTTAGCTCCCTCCAATTCACTCTCCCTCATGTTTCCCTTTGAATTATTCTGTTTTTCTCACACGACCTTTCTGTCTCCCTTCCTTTTCTCCTCTCTTCACTTACTAGGTCACCACAAGGTCTCCACAGTGCTGCCGAATAGGAACATTCCCCCTAATGGCCTCAGCAACGCCCTTGGCAATGATGTGGGAGGAGGTCACATGTCCTATCTGCCTAGATCCCACAGTGGAGCCTGTGAGCATCGAATGTGGCCACAGCTTCTGCCACGAGTGCATCTCTCAGGTTGGGAAAGATGGAGGCAACTACTGTCCTGTGTGCCGGAAAAAATTCCTGTGCAGGAACTTCCGGCCCAATCGCCAGCTAGCCAACCTGGTGAACAACCTAAAACAAATCAGCCAGAATGCCAAGGAAGGCACACAGAGGGAGCAATGTGAGGTGCATGGAGAGAAACTTCACTTATTCTGTGAGAAAGATGGGAAGACCCTTTGTTGGGTATGTTCCCAGTCTCGGAAACACCGTGACCACCCCATGGTCCCTATTGAGGAGGCAGCTCGGGAGTACCAGGTGAGGCCTTGGCACGTAGGCATGAACAGGTAGAAAGGAGATGAGGCCCTGATGAGTACTTTGTTCCCTGTAGCTGGAGATGGGAGAGAGTCACCTTTGGAGGTGAGGGATTGGAGAAAGGAAGGGTGTTCCCCACCTTTTATGTCTAATTTAAGGTTCAACATAACCTTCTCATTCCTCAGGAGCAGAGGAGATGCTATGGGAAAATGGTGCAAGGATCATGTTTCCTTGTGGCTTCCTGGTTGATTAGGAATGAGCAGTGCCCCAACTCCTGCCACCCCAGCAGAGCGGCTCTATTTCATAAGAAACATGAGGCTTTTTCCAAAGTCTTCCCATCCACAGAATTCCTACCCCAATCAGACTCTAGTCCTCCCTCCTTCTCTGCACTCAGACTTTTCTAAGAACCAGTATGATCTTCTCCCACCTCACCCCACCCCACCCTACTTCCTGGTCTGGTTGGGCATTAACCTGCTATCTTTCTCTGCAGGAGAAGCTCCAGATGACATTACAGAAACTGAGAAAAGAGCAAGAGTTAGCTGAGAAGTTGGAAGTGGATGTTGCCACGAAGAGAACAGCCTGGAAGGCAAGAGTCACATCCCAATGAGAATTTTAGATCAGAAGCCTAGGCAGGGTACCGGTCCTGGCCTCAAGAAAGCCCTAACACAGCTATGCCTGTCTGAGGAATGATAGTGTCAGCCTATCTCACTCTTCAAAAATCAGCAGTCCTCTAGGTCTCCTTATAAAGGGGGATAAAAAGTATGGAGCTCAAAGAGTGCTCCCAATCAGACAGAAGATTGAGAATCTTGTGAGATATAAACCTAAAAGCAGCAAATGAACAGGACAAACAAGCAAAGACTCATGGACATGGACAATAGACCAGAGGGGAGGGGGGAGCTAGATTGGGTAAAAGGGGTCAAATATGTGGTGACAGAAAGAAATTAACTAGGCGGTGAACACACAATGCAATATACACACACACACACACACACACACACACTCACACACACACACACAAACACACCTTACTGTTGATTTGTACACCTGAAACTTACTGGATTTTGTTAAGCAATGCCACCATAATAAATTGAAAAGGAGACAGAGAGAAGGTGCTGAGGGACATGCCATACCCTAAAGTTCATGTTTCTTGAACAGAGTCTTAGGAGATGCCCACACCATGGTGTCTGGGACAGAGGTATCCCAGGAGAGGTGGCCAGTGGCTAGGCCTGTCAGGAAGTGACAAAAGCTGTGAGGAACAGACATAAGAGAGCCACCAAAGCCTGAGGTAGGAAAACTAGTCTGACTAGGTGGTTGCTTGACCATGTCCAGATCACTGGTTCAAAGTAGAATGGAGAATTAAAGCTTGTTCTGCACTGGTGAATTGGAAGTGGGGCAGGTCTAGGGTGGAGAGGAGTGGCAGGAACTCATGACCTATAGGTCCCAGAAGAGGAAGATTTGGAACCAGAAAAGGGCGAACCAGTCTGTGGCAGCAAAAGGGGTCATCTGTGTCATCGTGTGACTCTCCAAACACTAACATGAGAGGGCAAGCAAAGAGTTATCACAAAGACCTTCTTTCCCCAGGACTTAAGAATGGTGACGTGAGCCCGTCTTTGTGAGACTGTTCGGGGGGGATAGGCGTTACCACCATCTCAGTAATTCACTGAAATATGAAGACAAAAGGATACATTCGGTGACTAGGTTTTGAAAGGGGTTGATAGTCTCTGATAACATGTGCTGATGCATCTGTGGTTGTAGGGCAGTTCAATGCACACCCCTACCAATCCCATTCTCCTCTTAGTTCTAGAAGCCTTACCCACCAACTTCCCTAGCAAAATTATGTGTGTGTATTCCCAGAAAGAGCCAGAGTGTTGAGTCTACAGAGAATAGAAGTAGGTGTGGATACTTCCATTCCCAAATCTTGGGAGATTTTGATAAAAACCACCTCTCTCTTTTCACTGACACCAAAGAGGAAGGTGGAGACACAGAAATTGAGGATTCACACAGAGTTTGAGCAGCAGAAAAACTTCCTGGCTGAAGAGGAACAGAGGCAACTGCAGAAGCTGGAGGAGGATGAGAGAGAACAACTGAGAATCCTGGGGGAGACAGAGGTGGATCTGGGCCAGCGCAACCAGGTCTTGCAGGAGCTGATCTCAGAGTTGGAGAGGAGGAGTCGGGGCTCAGCGCTGGAACTGCTGCAGGTGAGACAGGGAAGAGGCTCACACTCTGAATTCAGGGAGGAATTTTAAAAAGCCAGAGTGCTCTAGGGCTACCAATCAGATCAAGTGGAAACCCAGTCCCTTGAATTTTCTTAAATAAACTAGAATTTGGACACATGAGTGGTTTGCATTCAAGGCATGGAAAGGTACAGATTTAAGAGACAGTATTCCATGCAGCAGTTTTTTTAAATGAACACCCCCCATAAGTGCCTACTCTAACATGTACCAGGTTCAGGACCTTGAGAAAGGTCTGTAATCTTTCTGAGCATCAAGTTTCTCGTATGGTAAATGGATATTGTAATATTACATATCTCAAAGAATGTTCGTTAGGATTCAATGAGAGAATCCACTAAGGCTCTTCGATGATTGTCTAGCCATGGGAAGATTTTCATAAATAACTGAAAATTAAGAGACGGTAGCTCAGCCCAGCCCTGTAACCAAGTCTTTCATAACTCTAGGTTAAGTCATTTTTCCTGTCCTAGATCTAATTTCTCCATTTGTGAAACAAGGGGGAGGGAGTGGAGTAAGTGACAAGGATTTCCCCAAACTTTAGTCATAAATGTATCATCTTTATACTCTTTGCTACTTCTGTGAACTACTTAAGTGATGTAACATGTCTTTTTTCTTTAAAATTCTCTCTTTACCAGAATAAATTTAGCTTAAAAGGAAATTGGTCCTAACCAAGGTAGCCAAGAAATCATGTGTTGATGTGTTACTGATATTTTTTCCTAATTTATTTCATAACAGTGATAATAATAACTACATATTCAGTAGCACGTATTACATGCCAAGCATTCAATCCCTTGTGTCAGTGTGATGAGGTGGGTGCTACTATTATCCCCATTTCAAAGATGAGAAAACTAAGGTACAGAGATGTTAAGAGACTTAGTGAGAGACTAAAGCTAAATAACTTGACAAAGTTCATCCAAATAGTAGGAGAGAGAAGGAAGATTAAAATAAGTACATAACTTTTTTTTAATTCACCAATGTGTATTCTACTTTAAATGATCTCACATCCACCAATGATATGTTTGTCTCACTTTTAGACACTAGGGAGTAGATGGTCTCAAAAGTCCCTTCTACTGTAACATTCTACAGTTCTAGTACCACACCTTTTCACTGTCTCTCATTCAGATGTGGTCATGTAGCCATTTCTTTCTGGTTTGTGAAAAAATTTTTTAAAAAAAAGCTGACTTGATTGGCTTCACTTGGCAAGCTCTCATCTTCCCGTTATCTTGCTTCAGCCCAACATTGAGCCAGGCATCTAATGCACTTTTGACTGGGCCTAGAAGCCTGCCAGTCCCCAGATAAGGGCTCCCAACCCCTGCAACAGAATATTCTTGGGTGATTTTATTTCACCTACATTAACTACAGCACAGGACAGAACTTTAATCAGCCTTTTCTCTCCAAACAAATGAGACAGAACAGTTTCTTTGCATCCTGATTTGTTTATTTCCCTATGACTGTCTCTTGCCCCTTTCCACTCTTCCCAAGAATCTGGTCTTTCTAATTTGTTTTCTGAATCAGAGTATTTAAACTGATCATCCTTCTCTTAGCTATAGGTCAAACATAGGCTTCTGGTTATTCTAAAAGCATCCATATATCACTTCTGCTCCAGGTTGGTCAGAAGTGTCTTTTGAGCCATAGCCCAGAGGAATGGCACAGAGCAGTGTGGACCTCAGGGTCCTGTGGACATTTCATCACCCACAGGACTGAAGTCTCAGTGGTAAACCAGTGATTCTAGAAATTACTCTCTGTCTCTTTTCTCCTCAGGAGGTGAAAAGTGTCCTGGAAAGGTAAGGAGAGGTTTTCTTTGTTAGGGGAGAGGGTGGAAGGAAGCATATATACCTGTGAAAAAAAATTATTGAGTTAGAAAAACATGCACTTTCCCCATCCTCCTCTCTATTCTCAAAGACCCAGTCCTCCATAAAATATTTTCTGGTCTCAGAAGTCTAATCAATGGACATCTCAGTTGGTGAGTTGCCCAAAGTAACTAAACTGTAGCATCACCAAATGAAGCCCTGACAAACAAGGAAATTCTGAGAAGTTCTGAATCTACAGCCTGCTGGGACTCCTTTTTTTTAAAAAAAAAAAAAAAAAACTAACCAGTTATGTTTTTCTCAGAAAGAGCCATGAATAAGACTCACAGCATGGGCAAGACTCCTGAGGTTCCTTAGGAAATGATTCAGTGTATATCAGTACCCTGCCTGTAAAATGAAATAGAATGTATTTGTGTGATGACCTCAGGCTCAGAGTGGAGATACAAGTTATCCACATGCTGTAGAGGCCCATGTAACCAGGACGGCCTGGATAGGAACTAAATCCTGCCTTCTTTTGCCTCCCACCCCCAGGGATCCTAACACGAGATGTTTGTAAATTATCAGCCATCCACAAGGGAGGTTATAGCATGGGGGTGGGTAGGGGGACAGGAGTTGGAGATGGAGTCTGTAACTCTGTTTCTCCCAGGAGTGAGTCCTGGAATATGAAAGAGCTGAACATCATCTCCCCAGACCTGAGGAGTGTGTGCCATGTGCCAGGGCTGAAGAGGATGCTGAGGACATGTGGAGGTGAGGAGAGTGCCAGGAGTGTGGGACTGGGCTGCTGAGCAGCAGAATAAGATAACAAGAGTGCAGAGTATGTCCCAGGGTCCAGGAGAGATGTCAGGTTGGATGGAATAGATGGACAGGGATGGAGCTAGGGAAGGTGGTTCCCTCAAAGGTCAGGGCAAGGGCTAGAGGGTCACTTCCCCACACAGTGAGGCTGAGGGTCACCCCCTGGTCCTCACCCCACCCCCTCCAGACACAGGGTTAGTGACTCCCCACATCTCCCAGCCTGACTGTCCTCTCTCTGCAGTACACATTACTCTGGATCCACACACAGCCAATCCGTGGCTCATCCTTTCAGAGGATCGGAAACAAGCGAAGCTTGGAGACACCCAGCAAGAGATGCCTGAAAATGAGGAGAGATTTGATACTTATCCCATAGTCCTGGGTGCCCAGTGCTTCGAATCTGGAAAATTTTACTGGGAGGTAGATGTGACAGGAAAGGAAGCCTGGGACCTGGGAGTTTGCGAAGACTCTGTGAAGAGAAAGGGGCATTTTTTGCTCAGCCCCCAAAATGGCTTCTGGACAATTTGGCTGTGGAACAAACAAAAATATGAGGCTGGCACCTGCCCCCAGACTCCCCTCTACCTTCCTGTGCCTCCATCCCAAATTGGGATCTTCCTGGACTATGACGCCCACACTGTCTCCTTCTATAATATCACTGACCATGGCTCCCTCATCTACACCTTCTCTGAATGTGCCTTCACTGGACCCCTCCGGCCCTTCTTCAATCTCGGATTCAATGATGGAGGAAGAAATTCCGCCCCTCTGACCCTCTGCCCACTGAGGATGGGATGGTAGGGGTCCACTGACTATTGATGTCTCTCTCTGGATACTGTTAACTCCCCCACCCTCATTGGTACCTCTTCTCAGCCACTAACCCTGCTTTATTTTCCCATGAACTAAACCACCTCTGCCTCTGTAGAGGTGTCAGGATACCAACGAGCAGACTGGCAAGGAGGTCACTGAAAGTCTGTGTCAAATGACCTTCAATATCAATATTTCTGCCCCAGATTGCTTTATGATTTCCTCCATGAAAGAAAGTATATTTGGTCCAGACTCATCTGGATCAACCAAAACATGTTTCTGCCTTCTTTATGTGAATCAAGTTTTGTTTTTTTCTCTCCACACATAGGACTGGTCAGATCTCTATTATATATCTTACATGGTTTATGAAAAATCTTCCTACATAAATTAGGCCTCAATCTATCTTATTCATTCAAGCCTTGTTCTCATACACATCTGGGATAATCTTCCCAACATACACAGATCTGAGCGTTAAGTGGCTCCACCCTGCTGGTAGAAAAGAGCCACACTCATTAAAGGAAGGCTGAATTATGCATGCTTTAGATTGCCAAGTTAAATATCCAGCCTGCTGTGCTTCCCCATTCCTACCTTTATCTCCCAACCACATCTTGTTGATAATGGAGTTGGTTAAAGGGCATATCAACCTAAATAGAATGTATGATGGTTTTTTGATATATCAATTTAACTAGGCTATAAGTCCATAGTTTTTTAATCAAACACTAGAGGTTGCTGTGAAGGTATTTTGTAGATGTCATTAAAGGCCATAATCATTTGACTTTAAGGGAGATTATCTTCAGTAAACTGGGTGGGCCTAATTCAATCAGGTGAAAGACCTTAAGGGTAGAATTAAGGCGTCCCTAAAGAAGATATTCCATCTATGAATGGAGTTCCAGCTTGCGATTCCTGAGAACCTGCCCTGTGCATTAAGGACTTGCCTTACCAGCACCCATAAATGCCTAAGTGAATTCCTTGCAATAAATCTCAAAATTCACCTCTTACTAGCCCTGTTTCTCCAGTCGAACCCTGACTGGTATGAAAGCCAGGAGCGAGATAACAGCACGCCTGTGGACAACAAACACTTTCTTGAGTTTAAGCTTTTAAGGTTGGAACAAATGAAGCTCTACACCTGAGCGATAGTAGGCTATGAGGAAAAGTTAAATGGAGCTATGGAAACATGGAGAGCTTCCTAGAAATTCAGAAAAGATTTTCTAAAGGTGCCTGCCCGAGTTGACCATGAAGAATAAGTAAGAGTTTGCCGAGTCAAGTCATCTGAGGAGGGAAAAACAAGAGTAAAATCACAGAGATCTTAAAATAGTTTGGAGGAAAATTGTAATGATTCAGGGTTACCATAGCAAAGAGGACATGGTACAAAATGCTAGGAAATAATGTCAGGCAGTGAGATAACAGCCAAACCATTAAGGGCTTTGAGTACTAGTCTAAGGAGTTTAGAATTTATGCTGAAGCAGTAAAAGCAACTGAAGGATTTGTAGTGAGAGAATGACATGGTAAAGTTAGCATTTTAGTTACCTCTCTCTTGCTCTGTCATGTAAGATGAATAGGAAAGGGAGGAAGCAGGTTGGAGAATGGAGACAGGTCAGTTAGGAGGTTTTCTGTGCCAGGGGCTGTGTGTGCATTATCTCAGTCACCATGGTGTGAGATAACTATTTTTCTCTTTTTCCTGATAGGAGAGCAAACAGCTTAGAAGTTTAACTAGGTCTCCTGCTAAGGTCACCTGGCTGGTAAATGGTGGTGCTAGAATTGAGATACAACATTCTTCAAATCACCATGTTTCCCTACTCCTCCTTGCCCCCTTCATCAGGTGATGTAATGTGGTCTGTGTGGTGATTCCTAACTCCTGACTCAAAGACTAAAATAAAAAATCTGTTGTTTATTCCCTTAACCTCCCCACCCTCATTCTGCCACCTACAATTTTATTTATATTTTAATCATCTTTTCCTTCTTCCTCCTATTCAAGGCTTAGCCCTCCATAAGTGCACTGGACCTCAATCTTCTCTTTAACTACCTCTTCCCCTTAATCTGTCACTCTAGAATTTCAGACTCTCCCTCTCTATTGGCTCCTTCTTCTTAGCGTGTATACATGTTCAGGTGTCTCTTGCCCCTTCATCTCTCCTTTTGCCACCCTCTTAATCTTTGCCCAAAGCTATTGTACACTAAAACTTTCTTCTCTAAAATAGTCTAGTATATCATGATTGCCAAATCCGTTACTTTTCATTTCTTATTATTAGTAATCTCCAATTTTTATTATTATACTCCTTTGTCTTGATAATTGCATTAAATACTGTTATTAATTATTTCTAATCATTGCACCAAACCTATGAAACTGAAAGTGTCACTAGTTCATGCATGAAGAAACTGACTAAGATAAATAATTGCCCAAAGTCAAATATACTGTTAGTAGCTAAGCTGATACTTGAATCCAAGATTATTAGTGTCAAAGCTTTAAAAACTTCATCTTGTTATATCGATTATCTAAACCACCTTTCTTTGGCTTCCTCCCCATTCCACTCTAATTCTCCTATTAATTCTACAACATCTAAGACATGTAAGACAATATAATATAGGGGAAATGATATAGGCTTTAGAATCAGACCTACCTGGATTCAATTCCAGCTCTGCCTACTACAAATCCTTATATACGCAGACACACACAAACTTCCATTCAGATGCATATTTTCACACACATTTATTTATAAAGATACCAAACATATATTCATTCAGACAAATTTTGATGACAATTTATACACTAACACACATTTTCACAATTCACACAAACAGTGCTTCACTGTGAGCATGCACACACATATTTTAAACTTTCTCTCAGTTATATACCCACCCAACTCCACACACAGCCATTCCCTTAACCTCCCCACCCCGGTCAAACTCACTCTCACGGAGATAGGACTTATCTAAGTCATAAATTTACCTATCTTCATTCAGGGTACTGATACTCCTCTCATTAAATCGGTTTCCTCCGGGAGGTAGAGTTTCCCAAGGTTATTCCACTCATCTCTGCCTCCAGTTTTACAGTCTCCTTACCTATGCCAGAAAAGGGGACTCTCATAGAAATATTATTCATGGGATAATACCCCTGCTTCACCAGTTCCACTCTTGATTTGTCCAAACATAAGTCAGAGATATAAAATGTCAATGCTGGTTGGCACTTCATACTGGGGGTCAACAAACTGAAGCCTGCAGGCCAAATCCTGATTTCCACCTACTTTTGTAAATAAAATTTTATTGGAACACAGCCATTCCTAGTTATTTACATAATGTCTATAACAATTGCTTTCACGGGACAGAGATGAGTAGTTGCAACAGAGACTGTGTTCAAAGCTTTAAATATTTACTTTTGCCCTATACAAAAAAGTTTGTCAACTACTGCTTTAGAATAATCTTGTCATATAACTTATTATGTACAAAGGCCACAGAAGGAAAAGCAATTTTCCTAATGTCACAGAGGAAGTGAGTTAAAAAATTTCTTGCCTCTCATTCCTCTAATATTTCCACTATGCCACAAAGCTTCTGCAGAAACATTTGGTCTGTCCTCTCTGACTCCGAGCTCAAGAAATGGAGGATTCCAAATATAGCCTTTATTGGGTGACCAAATGATTAAGGCACTCCGTCATTGTTCCCTATATCTCTCATCAATAAACTTAGTGTTTCCTGTCTCCTTTATCCCCACACTCAATCACACCCCACCCCTCATGCCCAAGGGCCCACCAAGGCACCAAGCTAATCCTAGTCAGTAACAACCTACATCTCTCCTCACCTCAAACTGTCCATCACAGCCATCAGGAACCACAGACTGTAGCCATGCCCCTTCCTGGATGGTAGGGTGTTCCCACAACCAGACTTTGTATAATGGCCGGAGTACCATGCTGGAGGAAAAAATGCAAGGAAAATTATTCTATCTCTGAGTATCTTCGGGGACAATGGGCTTATGAGCCAACCTCATCACATTCTGGAAAAGGCAAAACTGGAGACAGTAAATAAATCAATGGTTTCTAGGAGTTAGGGGAAGAGCAAGGGAGACATAAACAGGGGGTACACAGGGGATTTTTAGGGCATTGACAATACTCTGTATTATAATGATGGATACATGTCATTATACATTTTTAAAAACCCATAGAACTTTACAACACAAAGAGTGTACCCTAATGTAAGCTATAGATTTTCATTAATAATAATGTATCAGTATCAGTTCTTTAATTGTAACAAATGTACCACACTAATTCAAGATGCAAATAATAGGGGAACTCTAAGTGAGGAAGGAGGGACGGGGGAAGGATGTATATGGGATCTCTCTGTACTTTCCACTCAATTTTTCTATAAACCTAAAACTGCTCTAAAAATATCTAATTTTTTCTATTTATTGGGGTAACATTGGTAAATACAATTATGTAATTTTCAGGTATACATTATAATTTGATATCTGTATATTCTGTTGTGTGTTTACCACTCAAAGTCTAGTTTCCTTCAGCTACCATATATTTGATCCCCTTTACCCACTTCACCCTGCCCCTACCCCCTATTTTGACCCTCTGTATCCCTTCTACATTTCCCCTCCTCCCCCACCCCCTACCCTCTGGTAACCACTAGTCTATAGTCCATGTCCGTGAGTCTCTGTTTATTTGTCCTGTTCATGAAAATATCTAATTTTTAAATGCAATCTTTGAAATAAAAAAAAATTAAAACTCAGTGGATTGGTTAAATAGCTTATTAGATAGAGCTAAAGAGATCATTAGACTTGAAGATAGATTAGAATAATGTATCCCAATGTGATACAAAGAAACAAAGACAAAGTATTAAAGAGAGATTAAATGACTTGTATGATAAAGATAGACTATAGAACTTTTAAAAAGAATATCTTAAATTTATAAGATGCACAACTGGACTACACTTATCAGTTAGAATTCAAACATTATCAGATATAAAAGCAAAAAATCCAGTTTTCTGTGGTTTAAGGGACATCGACCCAAACCATATGGGCACAAAATACTTGGGAGTAAAGAATATAAAATGATTTACTAAGAAAACACTCACCAATGAAAAACACAGGAAAATATACTTAGGTAGCTATATTCATAATCAACTAAATAGTATATGGACAATATCAAAATTGTCAATTGTCATGTTTAGGAGATTACCTGTTCTAGAGCAAAAATACAAGAGTTATAAGAAACTGGTACATAATTATTTTGAGGAATTTAACACTTTTCCCAATAATTACTGAATCATTTTTTAATTGGCATATATATAGAAGGTTTGAACAGTACAACTAATAAGCTGTTGTATCTAGTATTTAATTAATACTACATATTAGAAAATTTGCACCATTTTTATTGCATAACAAGCATCTTATTTAATCTTACAGAAAGCTAATTTATCACATGTGTAGAAAGATGTAGTCATAAAAGACTGAAAAACATACTAAAATTTCACAATTATGCCTCAGTTTTCTGATATTGTCATTGAAGTTTGTTTTCTTTATTTTGTCTATTTCTGTTTATTAACATTAGTTCTTAGACAATTAAATATTTAAAAGTATACATAAAAAAACTAAAAGAAAATCTAAGAATAATAATCAAATCTGAGGTTGAAGAAAACAGTCTTAAGATTAAAACAATAAAACCTACAAAGGAAAGAAAAAGATGAATTTGAAAATACTTTGTATAGCTCTTTAAGTAAAACAAAAGATAACCAAACCAATCAAAGAAAATTACGAAAATTATAACCTGAGAAAATATTTTCAATAAATATTAACACCTTAGGGAAGCTATATATCCTCTCTGTGCCTCAAATTACATGTCTAGGAAATGGAAATAATAGACACAATAATGAGTCTGATGTAGAAATTAGGTATGAAATAATTGAGGTATGAAATAAGGTATGAAATAAGCTTTGCACAAGTTCAATAAATGGTCTTTACTATTAATCCACAAAGAAATACAATGCCCAATAAGCACAATAAAAATTGTTCAATGTGTCTATTAACTAAATTAACTCAAGTTAAAAGACAATAAGTTAATTTTACCCTATCATATAGCAAGTTTTTCTAAATAGACTACTTACTAAATGTTAGTAAGGATGCATATGTTTTGGCACTTTTATGTATTTATGACAAGTGTGAAAATTAATAATAACTTCTCTAGATGCAATTTTCCAGTGTGCCAGAGTAGCCTAAAATTTTCATTCCCCTGCCTTAGTAATTCTTCTTTAAAGCTAAAATCACACAAAGCTTAATACATACACACACATGACAAATTCTACATATGAAAGTGTCCCTAGAACACTTACATTATTAATGATTAGAAAAACATAAGTATTAAAAAATAAAAGTATTAACACTATCTCTACTAGTATTAAAAAGGAATTTTAAGAATGCCTTCTTAGTAACTAATTTAAAAATATAAAATATACTATTAAAATTATTATAGATTTCTAGATGTACTGTCATGTAAAATGGAACAGTAAATTTCTCTGAGTGGTGGGATTGTGTATAATTTTAATTTTAATTTTAATTTTCTTCTTATTTTTCTATGGGATACTTATATAAAAAGGAGTAAATGTTTTCCAAAGAAGTGTCAACAATATAGTATTACCTCACAGAGGAAGTAGTACTTAATCTTGAAATGAAGTGGTTAATAATGACTTCACTGATTAGGTGACACCAAAGTAGGCACTGAAAGATGAATGATGGGAGCTCATCAAAAGGTCAAGGAGAGGAGAGGTTATTCCAGGCAAATGGATCAGTTAGAGAAAATGCAGCAATACACCTAAAATCATGACTGAATATGGAGAAATTAGAGATATACAGTTCTTCAAGACTGAAGCACAAGTGATACAGAAATTGTTGCCGGAAGAAGTCTGAATTTTTTTCTGTACCACATTAAGGGGAATGATCTTTGAGAAACTCCCAAAAAGTCAATAGTTAGGAGCACAGCTCCCTTAACATCCTCTTAACACCCATCATATTTTGAGAAAGCATATGAAGGGATGAAGGTTTTACATGGGTGCCCAGGGATGTGGTGAGGTGGATCAGGACTTGCCATAGCTAAAGACGGAAAATTTACTATTTATCTAAACTAGACTTTTCCCAAAGTTGATTTTAATATTACAGAGTTAGCCATAACTACAAGAGAGCAACCTGTCTATTCTCCAAATAATAAATAAGCTGTAAGTTTCTCAGTCAACCCACATGTACTGCTTTCAGATTGATCAGAGAAGCCAGTCTCACAGTCTCAGGTGGGTTGCTCCAGAGACCCATAACTCAATGAGCCATTTTTCCTAGTGACTTAGTTCTAGTTCTCTTGTTCACTGCTGCCAAAGGGCATATAATGGAGGACCAAAATTTTTGAGAAATCAATCTCTGCTATCCCCAAAGTCATTTCTGCTTTAGAGATAACACATAAACCACTTGGTCTCGTATCTGTTTTGTCTTAACCCCATAAATGATGGGATTCAGCATAGGTGGAGCAAGCATGCTGATATTAGCCAGCAGGATATGGATATGTAGGGGGATGTGGTGTCCAAAACGTTGAGTAAGAACTGAGAAGATCCCAGGCCCATAAAATAAGATGATGACGCAGACATGGGAGCCACATGTGTTGAGAGCTTTGTGACGAGCATCTTGGGAAGGGATATGGAAGACAGCACGGAGAATCAGAACATAGGAAACAAAAATGAGGACAATATCTAGGATCACCGTTGACACTAAAACAAAAAATCCATACCAAATGTTTATTCGGATGTCATCACAGGCATATTTGGCTAAGCCAATGTGTTCACAGAATGTATGTGGTAGGATGTTATTTCTGCAAAAAGTCAGCCTCTTCAGAAGAAATATCATGGGAAAAATTGTACAGTGTGCTCTCAAAAAAGCAGCCACACCAATTTTCCCTATCAGAGAGTGGGAGAGTATCATGGTGTACCTCAGTGGGTAACATATTGCAATGTAGCGGTCAAATGCCATAATCAGCAAGATGCCTGACTCAGAAATGAAGGAGGAATGCTGGAAGTAAAGCTGGGCAATGCAGCTATTAAGAGAAATTTCTCTACTATTGTACCAGAAAATGGCCAATGCCTTTGGTTCTGTTGTTGTGGCAAAGACAATGTCAACTCTAGCCAGCATACAGAGAAAAAGATACATAGGTTCGTGGAGGGTGCTCTTGTTGAGGATAATGACAATGAGAAGACCATTTCCAAGGAGGGCAAAGACGTAGGAGATGAAGAAGGGGATGGAAATCCACACGTGTAGGTCTTCTCGGCCTGGAATGCCCAGCAGATAGAAGACTATGTGGTTAACACTAGTGTGATTGAAGCTAGCCATTCCTGAAGCAGGCCGATATGGACTCTAACTTTACCTAAAGAGACAAAGATTAAAAGATAATATATAAATGTTTTCCTTGAGTTTTCTGATTAAAGATATTAAATTAATATGTTAATTTACCACTGTTTCCTCCTAATACCCTCTAAAATGTTGGCAAAATAACAAAAACATCATAAACATAAAAAACAGAAAAGATAATAACAGAGAAGTGGTAACACATTTTGAAAGCAGATGGATGACTATTGACTAAATAGATAGGATAAAACTAATAGCTTCAAGTTGAAAACAAGAATCAAGATAATTTCCACTGTAAAACCCAGACAGTCTCAAGAATCAGAAGTATCAGATACTTCTCTAAATAGAGATAAAGATGGGTTTTTTTTTAAAAAATTATTGGTTTAAAGTTTGTATAAAGAGCAATTAGACTATGGGATCCTCTTTCCCAACCTGTTCATCCAGGCACCACTTTTGTTACCAGCAGAATACTGGAGGTTTATCCTCTGGTGAGGATAAACCTGGAAAATTCTTGAGAATCAAAGCATAGCTGAGGTAGAGGTACTATGCTACAAGCGGAGGATTAAATGAATGGCTGGCTACATCCTAAACAAAGTGAAACCTCAGTGAACTTCTATGTGTGCCTGGTAATGCTAGCTTACATAACCCTATATCCAGATCTTACAATTCATTTTAATTTAAGAATGAGACACTGAAAAGTGATTAGAGGTTCTCTATGTAGGCATAGAATTTGTTTAGGGAGAGAGAGAGACTTCATGTCAAATTACTTCAATCCAGAATTTTACACCAAAATAAGTCAAAAATTTTAAGAGTAGGAAAAGTTATTTAGCATCTTCAAAGACCTCAATAGATTTACCCTCCATTAACCCTTTCACAGGAAGCTACTAGAAGATAAGCACCACCGATATGAGGAAATGAACCAAAAATAGGGAAACAGAGGCTCCAACAAGAGCTAAAACAAAGTGATAACAATACAGGAGAGAGTATAGGCTATGAGGAAATGAGGGAATTCCTTGGGTAATGGTGAGGGCTGACAACTGTGAAGTCTTGGAGGGTTGTGAATCTAGACTGCATCAAGGAGATAGAGGACACCTAAAGGAAGTCTTGGGGGGAAAAAAGCTTATTTTGAAATAATCGATATTTCTAGTGGAAAATAAGGCACATAAAAACTAAGCACAAAAAAGTAGACAATTATTTACTCCAGGGAAGAAAAAACTTTTGTATAAGAAAAGAAATGTGATGATATGTTACTTATCTCTGTTATTATAATCATAATAATGTAAACATAAACATGTATCTTAAAAATTATGATATAACTCTATTAATAAAATCAGGAAAAGAGAAGTCTGCAAGTGTCTAAATGTTGGGGGGCCAGAAGGGTTACATGTAAGAAAGCTAAATACCTGTTTTCCATATAAGAAAGTCAGGGGATGACATATAAAAATGATTAAAAATATATATAAATCAAGAAATAATGATATAAACATGCTGTTTATCTACATGGAAATAAATACTAAAGAAACAACTATAAGTGTTAAAGTATTTTTTCTGAGGAGCAGGAATCAGGTAGGACGAGGCAGGGAACCTCTGTTTTTTATTGTAAGCCTTATAGGAGAGTTTCTAAACTATGAATATGAATAATATTTACAATAATAAATTAAAAACAAATTATCTCAATAAACTGCCTAGCTCTTCACCAAAAACAAAATTTTAACAGCTCATAACTGAAGTTTCTCCCCCTCCCTCTCTCTCTCTCTCTCTCTCTGTCCATTTTAATTTCTGGAGCCAAAATTCCTATTCTCTTTGGGCACCAGATTACCCCTTAGAGAATACAGAGTGGCTTAACTAAATTGACTCTTCTCTCTTAAGAGGAAAGTCTAGGGAAGCTGGCATTGAAGCAAGCATAGACAATCTGATGAAAACATTTCCTGCAGTGGATAATTGCCTCCTGTACATTGCACGGTCATACAGATGCTGTTTAAAAAAAAAAAAAAAACCCTACCTTTTCCAAAGAATGCCATATTCCTAGAGGAAATGGAAAAGTGGCACCAAAAAGAATGCGGCACAGTGATAACCCATAGACCTAATAACAAAAGAACAGGTGAAAGCAGGAAGAACAGAGCCAGAGATCAAGCATGATCAGCAGTTAGATGGAGAACAGCCTTCAGAAGCTGATGAAGGCTTTGAGAAAAGGAACAGCCGAGGGAATTTGTTTTGGAACTATAGGAAAAAGTTGAAGAGCTGGGGGATAGTCTTTGGAAACAGTTGCCTAGAACAATTGCTGCTCCAATTCTAATTTCCCCTAAAAGACTTTTCCCCACGCCTCTTTCCAAGAGTGTTCCTGAACCTGCCCCGGATATCCCTCTGCTTTGTGCTTCTGAGCACTTTCCCTATCCCCCTCACCTGGAACTTCTTAGAGTATGCCAGGGGTAGCAGTACCTTGCCTACATAATCCATCCTCCCTAAGTCACAATTTCTAAACATTAGAAACGTACCTTATTTATTAGAACTATGTTTTATCTATGAATCATCTCTAACAAACTTTGAATTTTTTGATGGATTGGGCACGTCCTTTCATCAGTGTGTACCTGGAACATAGCACAGAAGGAAAGGTGAACAGGAGGTAGAAGGGAAGGAAGGCCAGGTGAGAGAGATTTAAGATCAGTGGCCAAAGCAAGGTTTTCCTTTGAGAACTCAGGTGCCTGAATCCAAATAAAACTTAAAAAGTCCTCTGAGAACTACCTATTTCTTCCCTATGAGCCCAAATGTTGGCCACTGATCTCTATGATCTGTTCACAATCTATTCACAAGACTCCAAACAAAGAGCTTGCTATTCCAACACCACAAATCAATTTCATTAACTTGGGCCGGTGAGGAGATCTAGTTTCTAGCTCTACTCTCTTCTACTCCTAGAATCTCACCTTGCGTAAGACAAAATCGGTCATCAGCCTTGGACCAAGTCTTTTGAAGCAGAAATGGAACCAGTGACTGAAGAAAACCTAGAAAGTTACAGATTGGACTACAGAAGCGATGATCTTCATAAGTTCTCAGAAGGTTACTTTTATTCCATAGCCCCACTTCCCTTGGGTCCTAACCTGGCCACAGTCCCACATGAGACACCTCATTATGCCTGCTTCCTGCTACCTTTTTCTCTTGACACCTGGTCTTCGGGCAACTCGTTATTAGATCTCTATCCTTAAATTTTACCTGTGCATTTTTGTGGCTTTCCATATTCAAGAGTCTTTGACTCCTAATCTAATATTTTCTCTGGAAAAATTAGGAGGATGGTGGGGTATGAATCATCAGGAATCTGTCTCTATATGGAGACAAAAATTGCACTGGTAGAATCTGTATGATATAGCAGTTTTGCAACTCTGGAGTCTGTCGAGGCTTCAACTTCCACAGGAAGACATGGACAGTAAATTATAGTTAATTTTGGTCACGTTCATCTCGTATCACAGTAGCAGCTACTCATCCCCTACCCTCAGCCCTATGGCAGGCAGCTGTGCATGTTTTCCTGGGGCAGCTTGTATGCAGCTGGCGGGAGCCAGGGTGGACAAAAAGAATCCTGTCCTCCAAATATTGGAATCTATATTCTGATTACTAACTGCTGCTTCTGATCTCCAAGGTGCAAAGAGGCAGGCAGCCATTGTTGTTGCACTTCCCACCAAACAAAGTGAATACCAGGGAATTTAAAGAGCTGGCACCCATTTTCTTCCCTTCATTTTTTATTTTTTCCCCTTTTGGGAGCCAGATATTAAAGATTAAAACATGCAAAAAGCAACTGCATAATAAGGGCATTTGAAAAGTGACCAAGCATACCCAGGAAAAGGTGCAGGCTCAAAAAAGACCTTAAGATTACACATCTAGCTGATCTTTGGCACAGAAACAGTCTACAACAATCAAATAAACAAAAACAGTATCCAAAAACAGCACTTCTTTTGCTGTGTCCTACAGATTTTGATACCTTGTTTTTTCATTTTAATATAGTTTAAAATATTTCTAACTTCTCTGTGACTTCTTGACCAACAGGTTATTTTGAAGTATATTTTTACACAGTTGCGGATTTTTAAATAATCTTTGTGCAATTGATTTTCGTTTTAATTCTGCTATAGCCAAACAACATGCTTTGAATGATTTCATTTCTTTGAAATTTGATAAAGATTGCTTTATAACTTAGCACATGGTCAATTTTTGATAACTGCTCTATGTGCATATGAAAAGATTGTGTAGTCTCTTGTTATTGAATGTAGTGTTCTATAAATATCAAATATTTTTTTAATTATGTTGATTGCCCTCTGTACCCTTATTAGTCTTTTTAATCTTTTGTCTCTTTGTCTTTCATCTATTGAGAGATGTGTCAAAGTCTTCCACTGTTATACTGGATTTGATTATTTTTCCTTTTAGTACTATCAATTTTTACTTTATGTATTTTTTAGCTATGCTATTTGGTACATATAGATTTAGAATATTTATGTCTTTGTCATGAATTTATGCCTTAATTATTATGAAATATCCCTCTATATCTCTAGTTATAATTCTTATCCTAAGGTCCACTTTCTTTTTTATTAATATAGCAATTTTGGCTTTCATCTAGTCAGTGTTTACATGGTAAATGTTTTTCTATCTTTTTATTTCTAACTTTTCTATGTCTCTATACTTAAGAAATTTCTTTGTAGGCAGCATATATTTTCTTTTGTCTGTTACCTAATCTAAATAAATAAAGTTCAGTTTGTTTACTATTTTTTAATACTTTGAGTTTTATGTCATCTTTTAAAAACCATTTGCCAAACCCAAGATTATGAAGAGCTTCTTCTATGATTTACTCTAGAAGTTTTATATTTTAACTCTAACAGTAGCTCTATGATTCTTTGGAGTTAAATTTTATGTATGGTGTGAGATAGCAATTGAGGTCTGGGGGTGGGGGACATAGGGTGATCCAAAAGTTCACCATCTGTGGAAAAGATTATGCTTAGTTGGCAAAA